AAGTTCAACATATCGCGATTTTACTTCTATCCACTCTACGAAGGTTCTTTTCTTCAGAACTCTCCTCCAAATTTATGAAGTAGTTGCACCTATTCAGATCTCTTTGCTCATGATCTCGCAATCATAGAAATTGCCGCATCAGGGATGAGATTTGATGACTGGACTCAGCCAATTTGTCTTCCACCCCGGGACTTCACTTATCAGACTGGAAGAAAATGCGTTGTTTCAGGATGGGGCAGCATGGGACTTGGTTGGCTTTCATTTCACATGAATTCTTACAAACAATGTCAAAGTTTATTCTCAGCATATCCATCACGGCTTCAAGCTGCCGTACTTCCGATAATCGACAGAGCTGAATGCATAAACTCATCCCGGATCTATGCATCTATGAGCCGATCAGCGTTCTGTGCAGGATATCTTCATGTATGAATTGTCGCTTTTCAAACCATATTGAAACTTAATCCTTTCATAGAGTTGGTGTAAGATACACTCAGCCCGTAGTGTACAGCGTATCACATTCTTTAATAGCGCAAGGATGTTCAAGGACATAGCTGGCGCTGATTCGCGCTCTATGGCCAATTATACACCTGCGTTCACTCACATTTTGGCGTCTGATGTGCAGTCGCACCAGGTGCCTAAATTTCGTAGTTCGTAATTGCATACCATCATTTAGCTTTGAAATGAGTTATACCTATGGTCAAATGGTAGAACTTTAACCTTACCAAACTTTTAATCTTTAAGATATTCTTATTTACTTCACAACCAAAATACGCTTTGAAGTCCATCCCTCTAATCTTTTTTTACAAACCAGGATGATAAAATTTTTATTTAGGGTGGTGTCGATTCATGTCAGGGTGATTCTGGTGGTCCGTTAGCATGTCAGAATGAAAACGGTAATTTCTAGAAGTTCTCTCAAACTCATTAGCTGACGAAAACTCTTTTTAGGACCGTACGTCTTAGCAGGCGTGATCAGCTGGGGTGATGGATGCGCACAAAAAGGTCAACCAGGAATTTACACAATGGTTGCTCCCTATTTAACTTGGATACAAGGAATTGTCAGATTGTGATAGCTTATAATTTGTATTTGAAATTTGAATTTGTCACACTTAATGTTAATACGGGATTACTCATGCCAAAATAGAAATATCTTTTGGCATATCCGCACCTCCATAGCATCTCACCAACTACAGCGTCGGGCGTATGGGTTATT